GAGGTACAGATTGGACATCCGAAAAAACTACTTCACAGTTAGGGCGGCTAGGAGCTGGAACCAACTTCCAAGGGAGGTGGTGCTGGCCCCTACCCTGGGGATCTTTAAGAAGAGGCTGGATACTTACCTGGCTGGACTCATTTAGGGTTTTTTTTGTTGTTCTCCCGCCCTGGCGGGGGGTCGGGCTAGAAGATCTATTAGGTCCCTTCCGACCCTAAAACTATGAAACTATGAAACTATAAGCCTGCTGGATCTTCTAGTAGACCTGTGCAGTGTCCCCACCACTTTTCTGCCACCTGAAACTACCCGGGAATGGGCTGCCTTGCCCCTGGGGCAGTGTTGGGAAGCAGTAGGAGGGTGGCTGGGTGTGCTTGCAGTTGGAGAAGGTGGCAGGGATGGTGTGCAGGGTGCTGAAAGCCTGGGTGGGCTGAGGGAAGCTTGGGCTTGCCGGGCTTCCAGTGCCCTGCACACCATCTCTGCCACTTTCTCCAGCCACCAACATACTCAGCCACCCTCCTGCTGCTTCCCTGTGCTGCCCCAGGGGCAAGCCAGCCCATTCCTGGGTGGTCCCAGGTGGCGGGAAGCTGGCGGGGACAGGGCATGGGGTGCTGGAAGCCCTGGCAGGCTCAGGGAAGAGTTGGATCTAGCTGGGCGCTGCCTCCAAGCTGGGGCATTCTCCAGCCCACTAGAAGCCTGCCCAGGTGGCCCCAGGGGGCTCCACCACCATGGAGGGAAGGACCAGTGCCCCCTAGAGCTCAGGGGCTGCTTGGCCCACTGGTAGCTTACACCCCTCCCCCCTGCCCCCCACCACCACCACCACAGGAGAGGCAGGCAGGCAGGCTTTGGGAAAAAAAAAATGATTGGGCCCCTCGCCACTTTTGCCTCCAGCCAGGTGCTTGCTGAAGGTAGTGAGGGACCTGAACCTTTTATTTTTTTTTTTGGTAGAGCCTGCCCGCAGCTAGGGGTGAGCTTCCAGTGGGCTGAGTGGCCCCTGAGCTGTGGGGGCCCCTGGTCCTCCTCTCCACAGCAGTGACACCCCTAGGGCCACCCGGACAGACAGCTAATAGGTTGGGGACTGTCCCAGCTCAGAGCCAGCACCTGGCCTGATCCAACAGTTCCCCAAACTTGCCCGCTAGAAGCTTGCCACGTGCTGCTCCCCAGGTGGGCTCAGGGAACAGTTGGATTGAGCCAGCTGCTGCCTCCAAGCTGGGGCAGCATCCGGCCACTAGCAGCGCACCCAGGTGGCCCCAGGGGATTCCACTACTGTGGAGGGAAGGACCAGGGCCCTCCGTAGCTCAGGGGCCGCTCAGCCTGCCAGCAGCTCACTCCCCAGCTGTGGGCAGGCTCCATTTCCAAAATAAATAAATAAATAAATAAAAGTATCGGGCCCATCACCATAACGTGATGTAGTGTGACGGGAAACTTGAAATGGTGGGTTGCAATTAAAAACCGACCTTTTCAATTTAGGAGACACAAAATAAAACCTTGGGGATTAAACGCCCGCTGTGTGTACAAGTGCCCTGTGTTGTCAATTTGTATAGCCTACAGTATACCATTTCAGCCATGTATAGCCATTTCACCAGAAGTTCCAGCAGGGGCAGGCTCTGTTACAGGCTCTGTTTTCATTATAATTGTAAACTTCTAATCATTTACTTGGTATTCAGTTGATACTAATCAAGGTTTGCTTCAGCATACAACATGGGTAATGGAATGATTAGTAACTAGGCCCTGTACGCCATCCAGAGTGTTTGGCATAGTGTATCTGACTTTAGGAGCTTCTTCCCCGCTGGCTTCCCTCATCCCCTTCAGCTCACCCCTCAGTACTCTTGCCTGCCACATCTCAATGGACCAAACCGATAGGAAAGGCTGCCAATGGGTGAGGAGACCTTCAAGAGTTGGACCCTTGTCTGGGATGGGGTCCTGCTGGCCCTGTACCGCTTTTACTCTAGCTGTGCCCTCTAGCTCAGAGCCCACTATCCAGGGCTGCAAGCTATTGGCTCAGCAGGGTGTGCCCTCAGGCTCAAGGACCCACTGCCCCAAGTCCTGCCACCACCTTTCAGTCCCTGACAGGCTTCACCTTTCCAGGATTGGAACTTATCCCCCAGTCTCTATTTTCTTTTTCTCAATTCTGTTTGAAACCTGGGGGGGCTCCCAAGCACCCCACTCAGTGGCCTCCATCTCTCCTACAGCCACAGACCAGGTCACCGGGAACAAAAATCACCTACACCATAGATGATTACTTGGCTCAAAACAAAAATGGCCCACCCAGGGTTAGCCTCATCCTGGCATGATGTTCTCCAAGCCACAAGCAAAGGTAGGGATTTCAGCAGAATGTATTTGGTTCCTGATGCAGAATCTCAGGTCTGTTTCACCCCAGCTGCCACTCTGAGTCCCTTCTTTCCAGCCCAGAGTTCAGTCCCTTTGCCTTTTTATACGGAGCACCTTTCTCCTATGGCTCCTACAGCCAGACTCTCTCTCAGGCTTGAGACTTGAGGTTATATAGGGTCCTCCAGTTCCCTGACTCTTCTGCTTCCATTCTTGGGCCATCAGGGACTGCCTGCACTTGGGCCCAGCACCCATCTTGTTTTAGGCTCCTTCACCTGTTACTTAACTCCAGCAGCACAAGAAAGCAAAGGAAAACAGGTACGCATGTAACAGGAAAACAAATAACATGAGGAAAATAGAGCAGGAGAGGAGTGTACAGCAAAAGAAAACAGGCAAAGAAACACCACCAAGGGGAAAGGATGAACTGGTGGACAACAAAGGGATATGGGGAGCAAAAGAAGGGTGGAGGGGGACTAGGACCCCCTAACCCCCTTTCTCCCCTCTAGTAACAGGGAAGAGGCCCTGTTACATGCCCCTAACCCTTTGTCGGGCTTGCTGGCAGCTTAAAGATCACATGGCTCTTTTCTGGAATCAGACACTAATGATATGGATTGGCCCTTTCTATTATTTCTCTACAACAGGGCTAGGCCTTCCAAGATAGCTACTCCTTCTCACATGTCTATTTGGTGGGATATCCCAAAGTACAATGCCTCAAGTATGAATGGATGTTTCAATGATGCCATAGTTTCTAGCACTCCGTATGTGATCCTACCACCAGGTCCCACTGATATTATTGATGCAGGATCTGGGTCTCTATCCACAGTAGAGGTCCTAAAAAGCAACTGCCCAATTTTTCATAGGATGCACACATACACACATTTATAAACATAGCTATGTTGTGAAAAAGCTGCTGGGTAGACACAATTGTGACATGTTTGTTCTGAGTGGTTCAGATGAATTTCCATGAGGTTCTTAACATTTTATAGAGCAATCTCACTTAAGTTTTCATTGAGAAGCTGGGGAAGGTAAGAAAGTTTCCTTTCTTGTGGGGTGGAACAATTTATATATAGTGGCTAACATTTTCCCAATGTGTTGCATGTATTTGTACCTAAATAATGAAGCTGCCTAAACATAAATAAATACATCAATAAATTTAAAGGTAATATACAGCAGCCTAGGTATACAAAAGAAATATGGAATATTCTCGCTCTATCCTCTTATCATCTTTAACCCCTATATGACCCCCCAAAGTATATCTTATTTTGGGGGGAATATAGGCAAATTGAGAAAAATATATTAAATAATGTATTTAAAATATCTTAGATATTAAATGTATTTAGTATTGCTATGGAAAACTGGAAGACTTCAATATGAAGCAGAATTATGATTTCCTTCATGAAAATTAGAAACAAAGATTTTTTTTAAAGTACATGATATGCTACAAAAATTACCTGTAATATATTATACTTCCGAATCTTTATAAATACAGTAGAATTCTTTCATTCAATAGTAGACATTCCTTTTTAAGAGAAACATCATCTTAATAACAAGAGTCCTGTTCAGGAATCTAGAAAGACTACTGGGTTATTGAACAATCTGATCGGGTATGTGCAGGTGTTACATGTAGACCAACCTAACTAGGGTTAGGTTGATCTAAATGCCCATCTGTGTAGTCATTTTAAAAAGTTAGATTGAGCAAAAAATGGCAGGCCCAACCTAAACTAGTTCACCTGAGGAGGTGAACTAACTTAGATCAGGAAAATGTTAACCTGATCTAGTGAAGGTCTACACATGTTCAGACCACAGCCTGGAGATTGAGAAAGCTCAGCCATTCTCCGTAGCCCTGAGGCTGTGCTCTTCCTAGCCCCTCCACCCTGACCAGGCTATTTTTGCCCTCCAACCCTCCACCTCTGAGGGACAACTGCACCCCCACCCCACCCCACCGCACCCCCAGACCCAACAGAGTTATTTCCCTGAATGACTTACACTGGGTTCCCAGCACGAATCCCAGCACCAGCAAATGTCTTCATATGCCACACCCAATCTATGATTATGTGGCTTAAAGCAAGCTGTTTGATCATCAACCAGGTGTGGCAAACATCTGCACATACCCATAAAGAAGATGGGGTACTCTTGGAGTTAGGAGAGAATCTGGGCTCTGGCAAATCAGCTGTAGGATGCTTACTTACCATGCAGCATATATAGTTGGAATAGAAAAGGCAAACTAACAACTAAACACAATCAGCAGTGAAACAACCCACATCTCTCTGCATGTGCTCCATGTATGGAGGGATAATACAAAATTCACTTGGTCAAAAAGACCAAGGTGAATTTGCCTTTTGGCACTGCACTTAAGCTAAACTGCCCTCTCTATTAAGTATTCTTTTTCTTAAAATAGTTCTTTGGGAAACCCAATTAGGAGGATTTATAAATGAAACATTTCCTGCATTTCCTGTATAAGTCATAAGCACCCTGATTAAAAGTCAACATCAAGGCAACTTTCCATTGCCCACCCCATGCTGGAACTCTTTGCATGCCTATAAATGATACCTTGCCATCTCTATAAAATACCTAATTATATTGATAGGTACTTATCTTCCTTGGTTTAAGAGACACACCAGCTACATTGTGCCATTTTATTTCTTTCATATTACTTGAAAAGAGGCACCACTTACCTGCTAATACTCTGGTGTAATAGCCACCACAGCACTGATATTTTGGTTGCACAGCATGTATCTGACCACCACAGCAAACCCCTGATGAATTAAGAATAAATGGAGTGTACTTGTCCTCACAGCACTGAAAGCCAGGTTTATTGTTGTGCAGAATCCCATTACAACATGCCTAAAAGAAGTTTAAAAAAATAGAAAGGCAGTATCTGTTAAACAAAGCATAATGCTTTCTCTGACAAAACAATGTCTATGAAAAAATGTGTACAACAAATCCTAGTGCTAATACTAATATGACTGCAGACAGACAAAAGTGCAACATGGCTAAAAAAATACTGTGCCCTCCAGAATTATTAGACTTTACATCTGACAGAATGCTGCTATTTTGTGGCCTTCAACCATGCTGCACCTTAATAAAATACTCCATTAATATGAATTGTCTTCGCATGCCTTGCGGGATGTCTGCCTCAATATGTAGTTGATTCCAACATGTAGATATATTCCACCCTCACCCCTGTCTGTATCTTACTTCCCTGATTCAAATTTGTATTTTGATGTGGAGCTATCTGATCCAAAAACCTATGACTAAGGACTTCCCAGTATGAACTCTTGGGTTCCCTTTTCACATTAAAATAAGTGGAATTTTCTTATAACACATGATCACTTATTTGTGACTACAATTTTTCAGACAATGCGATCTTGAGGGAATACAATTTATATACTTTTTTCAAAATAAAATTTACATGGGAATGAATTTTGAAAAGGCCTTTTAACTGTGGACTTCTTTCTAGGTGCAGTCATGGAAATTATACACTTGAACAATCAAATAATTATTTGTATGCTTGCTCCAGTGCAGAGGGAGTGACATACTGTATACATAACAAATCATGTAGAACAGTCAGTAGAATCATTATAAAACATAACCTGAAAACCTACATTCAGTGCAGCTTATATTAGGTAGAACGGATCATTCTTATGGCTAGGTGAAAAATGCAGTTGGCAGCCTGGCACGAGTATATAAGCACTGTAGTCTCTTTTCTCTGGGTACTGAGCTACTTTCAGCCTGGAGAATAACCACATTCTAACTCGGCTAACCAGAGCAGCAGAGAACAAACAAAAACATGTCTCTAAATAAACGAGACATGTCTATCTTTTGTCTATCTTCTTTACATTCATTATTGACTGGCAAAATAAAAGAAGGAAGAGAAGTGGGACCATTTACTGTCTAGATTAAGAATTGAAATATTTGAGGAATAATGCACAAAATGATATGGACCAATAAAAATAAAATCCTAGATATAAAATTGTTAAGAGCAGTGTGTATATACATATACATATTTACTGTAAAGAATCCACAACCTATACAACCTTCCTCTTAGCTGCAATAACTGTGTGCTATTCCCTCCAATTCATGACACACTTCTATCTTTCATGTAAAAAAATAATAATTTTATTCTCAACAGTCAACGTTGCTGATCATAAGATTCTGCCAGGTTTGTGTGTGGGTGCAGAGTGCAGTAAAGATGCAGGAAAAAAAGAAAGCAAGGAACCACTGTTCCTCACATCTCATGGTCTGTACAAAGGTCAGAGACAGGGTAATGCTGGGATGGCTTCAGCCATTTTTCCTCAGTGTCACTAGGTGTGTATACAAGACACTTTACTGAGCAGTAGACTAATCTACTGTGTCATAAAGCATCGCTACATACCCATGCACAGGAGCTACCAAGCAGTAGATCAGGCTATTGCACAGTTTTCTACTATCTGTAAATACAGGTAGTAGATTTACTGCACAGTAGCTACTGCACAGTACTGCACAGTTAGCTACCTGACTGGAAGCAAATTTCTCCTGGTCAGCCTGGGCAGCAGCAGGCAGGAGAACAATCCCCTCCCCTGGGAGCTTCCTGCTGCCAGGGCCGGCTCCAATCGCAGAGCTCAGTGGGGACAATATCTCCTTACCCCTGCAGGAGGCAGCTCCTGGCCCCAGCTCTGTGACTGCAGCCAGAGCTGGGACATTGCTCCCTACCCCCAGCAGCTGCCTGCTGCTGGGGCAGAATCCACAATCAAAGCCACGGGGAGGGAACAATCTTCCAGCCCCCACTACCATCTCAGAGATGGGGGTGGGATTTGCCTACTGTGGGGGGAGTGCATATAGTTCCAGGTTGGCTTTGCAATCAAAGTGGGGATTGAGCAGCAGGCAGCTGCCTGGGGCAGTGGTGCAGGGTAGGAGGCAGCTGCCCTGAAGGAGGGACAGCTCCCCTCACCCTCAGAGCCCAGGCCTGATACCAGTGCCCTCCTGCCAGCCTGGAGCTGGCATCTGAGGAGTCTAGAGCTCCCCCTGGCTGTCATATAGTAACAGAATAGGGCAGGAGTATCCCTGTCCTGAACTTCTCCTGGTGAGAGCAAATTTGCTCCTGATGGGTGCACATGTAGATGTGCACTCAAAGAAAGCTTACTATGCAGTATTTTATGGCATAGTAAGCTTTCTGAGCATTAATTACACATGTAGACATACCCACTGTATGCTTGGAGGCGGTACTAGCCAAAGCACAAATGATAGAGAATGATTTCATCCCCAAAAACAATGTTGTAATAGGCACTTTCTGCCTCTCATTGCTTCTTTCAAACTCTGAACTAACCTCAACATAGAGCTGAGGTTTCAGAGCTGTGTCTAAATCACATAATCTAGCTTGTGGTTTTTACATTTACTAAGACTTAAAAAATATGCTGAAACATGTTTGAAAGTTTTAAACCCAAACTTTTTACAATTTATGACTGCTTTGTATATTTTATCATGACAATAACTTTAACTAAGTGCTAATTGAATTATTGGTACAGTGTGCTGGACATGGACATACAGGGTTAAATCCCACTTCACCTTCATGAACCTAGGTGAACTTATGTAGCTGTATAATAGCAATTTTGACATTTATGCACCATTTAGACTATTTTCACCTCTGGCAGAAAAGGATCTCCCTGGGCGTGTCTACATGAGATGTTTACTGCAGAACTGCCTAATGAGGTCCACAGTAAACATTTCAGCATCTATATGTCTGGCCCTATTAGGCCACACTAATAAACTCCACTGCAGGTTAGTACTTGTAAATGTCACAACCCAGTGATTTTGGTGCCTCGGCACGGTGGAATTTTCTTGCCACATGAGAGCCTCTTGCACAGCGAGGGTTTTTGCTGCACAGAAGAACCTCGGTGCAAGAGAGTTCCCGCCAATTTGTAGCTTTCTTTGCAGGGTGCATTTCTTCTTTGCAGCACAGAAATGCACGGTGCAAAGAGTTCCTGCTATTCGAATGCAAATTTGTGTCCCGCTATTGGCCAGTGCTAAATTATTCCTACGTAGCGGCTAGTAATTGGCTAGCTAGCTGTTTAAAATTTCATGCGACTTCCGCCCAAGTCGAAGAACTTTGAGCATGCTGCAGAGCGCCTCTAAAGAGATCTGACTTGCGGCTAGCTGATTGATAGACTGATCACCTATCGATCCTTCTTCCCGTCACCGAGCACAATCCCAGACGTACCCTTTTCCCGCCGGCTTGATTTGCAGATGGATTAACTGGCTTGGGCCTTGCCAGCTGGAACAACTCACGTAGTTGTTCAGACGACTGGACCATCTGCGTCGCAACTACAAGCGGCGTAAGTAAACGTTTTTGCAACCATTAAACCTTGTCTGCCTCTCCATTCACCAGCCCGCCCTGATGAACGAGCAATTTCTAAATCACCTCGAGTCAGCTCTGGCCGTCCAAGACAGTAAATAAAGGTACTATCCTGCAGCAGAGTTTTTTAGTATGCAGCAATGAACATGCAGATGCTGACTGGCTGACTGGGGCATAAGGCTGCTTCAATCCGGGGGCTGCCTGATGACTAACTCCACACTGTAGCACCCTTATGCCCCAGCTAGCCCCACTGCAGCATGTAGAGACTAGTTGGAGCAGCCCTGGGTTGGCAGATTGATCCCATAGGCCTTGTGCCAGCCAGGGCTGCTCCTACCCAGCTCAACGTGCTGCAGTTCCAGGTACATGTGCAAACATGGTACCCGGCAGCAATAAACTCTGGTGCAATATGCACTGGAGCTTATTGCTGCACATTAATAGCATGTGCAGATGCACCCCCTGTGTGCACACCTGCTGGAAGTCAAATGGAGGAGTAAGGTTGCAGGGGAAACCTCAGTTTGTAACCCAATAGCAGAGTGGCTAAGACATTTGCCGATTACTACCAAAAATGCCACTTTCAGGGAAAAGTGGAACACCACACAGATTTTCATAGGCTTGAAAAGAGGCCCCATAAGAGTTGCCAGGACTAGGCTCAGGTGCCATTGGTGGGTAATGCCACCAGTGGGGAGGTGATAGGTATACCCAGCATTCCTAAATTCTAACAGGTAAGCGACGATATTAAGAACCAGCTGGAAAAGAATGCCTAGAGTAGCACCAATTGGAAAACTCAAGCCACTAATCCAGGTAAATTTGACTGGTGGAGTTCTTGCTCCTGTGGATGTTTCTACATAGAATAACCCTGCACTAACTCTGACAACTATCCAGCATTCAGGCTGTGAGGTGGACAGGGCAGAGATCCAGAGGCATACCCGCTTTGGTCCTGACTGAGCAGGTCTAACAACAGGGATGATTTTTTTAAGAAGTCCCAGGTCAGGAAAAAGACGCATAAGGCCAGAATGGTAAAGAAAGCCCTGGTACTAAATGTGACCTGGGGACCTGGGTGGCAGCACAAGGCAGTGTGTGTATAGAGGGCACAGGCAATTGAAATATAAAATGATATAGCAGATTTTGATGAAGAATGAGTGCTCAGCTTAAATGAAAAGTACATCACAAATGTAGAGCAGCAAAGTGCTCTATCATAGCCAGGTAACTGAGAGGAACTGAGGAGCAGGAAATGCGCACTATTTCTTTATCCCCTTGAGGCATGGTGGGCCACAGGGTACTGCTAAAATAAACGGTCTCTGGGTCAAAGGCTCAAAAGATGACCTACCCATATGTGAGAATGTGCATGTATGAAATTACTTGAAAGAAAACTTTTAGTTCATTTTGGCCATTTTCCTGACAATACAGGATTTTTCCTTCTAGAATTAGAAATAAAACCGAGCTCTTATTCTGTAGAATTTTGAGAAAGGTCTGATTCAGATCCTGACTTTGCTTTTAGGATCTGTCTCCAATA